GTACTATAAAATGTAACAGAAATTTCCTGTCCTAATACCTCAGCTTACTCAGTAGATGAAAGTTTGCTTTCTTTTTTCCAGTTAGAGTTCATATATTCTTCTACAATTATAGCAGTACTCTTCATAATAATGAAAGTCATATTGATACTCTTCCTCATGGTCAGTATAACTTTGATGTTTTATTTGTGGCATTTCATTCTGTTCTTGGATTAAATTAAAAAGAAAATGGACATAAATTGAAAACATCACAATCATAGGCAGTAAAAATAGTTTATAAAGGGCAAAGTTATTAAATAAATAAGTTGCAGTCTTCTCTGCACTGCATTTTCTCCTACTTGGGAAAGCCCGTGGAAATGAGAATGAACACCCATAAGTTGTCTTGTAGCTTATTTTTTTAAGTAAATTATAAATGTTGTTTTAACATCAATAGTAGCAAATTACTTGTGACACATCTTATAGCTCCTTTCCACACTATTATGTTGATCCACCACCCTTGAGGACTGCTGTAGAAGAATCACTCTGTTCTGAGATGAACCTTGCCTATATCTGTGTCTTAGGTTTGCATAAAATATTCCTTAAGAAATGAGAGAGGGAGCATCTGTGAGCTTCAAATTGAATGTCTGTTGACAGCAGATCAAAAGGAAGGGAAAGATTAAAAAAAAATGGCAGTTCTGTCCATTTTAAAGAGATAAGCACCTGCGTGAGGCTAACTACAGGGCACATATTACTTTATAAAGGCGCCTGCATCTCCATCTCTGAGATGCTGCTTCCGCACATCTCAGCATCCCTCCAAAAAGGAAATCCACAGTTCTGACCTTTGTCACAAAGTAAATTTTGCTTATTTATGACTTCATATTGGGAGATGATGCAGAATGGACTTCTGTAGGTCTGGGTTCCTGTGATATTATGGGAGGTCCATTCCTATCTTGAGGTTCTTAGAAGTTGTTCTTATTCATCACTGTGACTCAGTTACTTGAATGTGCCACAGTTGTAGTATTTATGGATATTTGGCTTTTCTTTTCAACTTTTTAATTCTTGTGCTGAGGTTTGAATTTAGGCCTACACGTATGCTCATCGTGTACTCTACTATTGAATCACACATCAGGATTTTATGAAACATCATTGTGCATATCTTTTGGAAAAATGAAATGCTAATTTGTTTTGGCTGTGACCCTTGGTCTGTGCAGTTTTTGTTTCCTTAGCATTGAGGTCTAATTTATTCACCTGTTGGTAGTATTCAGTCTGATGGGAAACCATGGGTCTCTCTGGCATTAAAGTCCTGACCGCCCTTTCCCTAAGCTGTCTCTGTAAAGGTGCTGGAAGGTAGAAGTGTTATCTCCTCAGATATTAAAGGACTGATTTGCTTGCAGCTGTGGAAGATCAGGGTAATACTTTCCTTGAGGCAAAGGGCTGGAATGCTTCCTGCTCATTTCTATTGATGTAGGCTTCTTAAGCACAGTCACCTGACTCTTCACAGCCCTCAAGGAAGTGCTGGTACTTTGCTGCTGCTAAGAGTAAAGTCTTGTCTTTGATTCAACTCTTATCTTCTAGTAGTGTAGTGAAATGTGGTGTGGTGACTTATTAGCTAAAAAGTGAAATTTCAGACCTTTGCAGTTGTTTCTGTTGCGTTGTTTTGGTTTGGGTTTTGCTTTTTGAGACAGGGTCTTGCTCCATACTTCAGGCCAGCACTGAACTCACAATGTAGGCCAGGCTTGTCTCAAGCCCATGACAATCCTCCCTGCCTCAGCCTCTCAAGTCCTGGGATCACAGGTGTGCCTTTGCCATTCTTGACACAATTTAATGACTGTTGACAAATGTATAAAGTCTACAGTGCCACCACAAACAGATCAGAGTATTTCCATCACACTCAACAGTTCCTTTGTGCCCCTTGTCTGCCTCAGCTCTAGGAAACCTGGGATCACCTTCCTGCTGCCTGAGCTTTGCCCTTGTGAGGTTGTGTCTGAGCTTGTGTCTGAGGTTTGTTGTTGTTGTCTTTTTGAGATAGCATCTCACTATGTAGTTCAGGCTGGCCTTGAGCTCACTTTGTAGCCCAGATTGGCCTTGAACTCTCCTTGATCCTCTTGCCTCAGCCCCCTGCGTTCTGGGATTATGGCAGTGTTTCACCATGCTCAGCAAGCGTTTTTGGTTTTGGGTTTTTTTTTTTCCCCCTTTTTACTTTTTTGGACTCTAACTTTGGGCCTCCCACTTGACAGGCAGGTGTTGTACTGTTGAGCTCCATCTCCAGCCCATGTCAGGTTTCTTAATGTTTTTGAGATTCATTCACATGTACATATCAGTATTCTGATTGCTGTTCTACTCTGGATATGCCTTGGTGTTGGTATTTATCTGTTCTTTCACAGCCAACAGACATTTGAGTTAGTTCTGGTGTGATGTTATTGTGAGTAAAGCTTCTGAGCATTTGGTTGTTTCTTTATATGGATAGATATTTCTGTTTTTCTTGGGTACCTTCTTGGGAGTAGAAATGCTGAATCTTCTGGTATGCTTTTAACTTGGTACAGAACTGCCAAATTGTTTTCAAGAATGTCTGTATAATTTTTAATTCCTGGGGGGGGGTTGTTTGTTTTTTTATTTTTGTATTTTAGGGAAGGGTCTACAGGGTGGGTGTTTAGGGTCTCACTGCTAGATCAGACTCATAGTGATCCGCCTGTTTACAGGCTCCCAAAAGCTGGGATTACAGGTACACACCACCACACCCACTCTCAATTGCCTTCTCAGAGTGCCCCGGAGGCAGGGATCCAACCCCGGCCCCTGTGCCTGCTTGCAGGTGCTGTAATCTGCTGAGCTATTTGGCTGGCCCTCTGTTTTTATTTTAAAGAGAAAAAAATAGCAAAATAGTTTCAAAGCAGATTAGTAGGAGAGTTATAATAATACACTGTGTGTTACTGTCTTCATACTAGCTATTTAGAGTACAAGATATAGGCGTGGTATCTTGTCCAAACAATACTAGTACAAACCTTTTCAGTGAACTACAAGAAACTAGCTGTATAATTATCGGAAATATCTTGTGTATAAATATATTTTTTACTTTACCCTTTCTTCCTTTCTCCTCTCCCCATCACAGTTTGTCTTTTCTTTTGGACACTTTCCTCCCAATTTACAATATCTAGTGTTCATTTTGGATCTTATTTGCTCATTCAGTTTCTCACACTAGTGAGACAATATGCTGTTTCCACATATGGGTGTGATGTATTTCACTTACAAGTGTGGTCTCAAGTTGCATCCATTTACCTATGAAAGTCACCAGTGTATCCTTCTTTATGGCTGAGTAAAGTACTCCATTATAAAAAGGCCTCGTCCTTTTTATCCATTTCTCACTTGATAAGCATTTGGGCTGTTTCCAAGATTTAGCTATTACAAATTACGCTGCCATAAACATGGGTATGCATATATTGGTGTGGTATGGTGCTTTAAATTCTTCTGGGAAGAGCCAGAAGGGGAATAGTTGGGTCAAATGGGTCCTGTAATCCTAGTTTTTGAGGAATCTCCATGTTGGTATACATAGTGGTTATCCCACTCTACACTCCCTCCAACAGCAGAGAGGGACTCTTCTTTTCCCCATCACTCGCCAGCATCTGTTATATTGATTTTTTGATGATAGCTGTTCTTTCTGGGGTGAGATGGAATCTCAGTGTTGTTTTAATTTGCATCTCACACATGATCAAAGATATTGAGCATTTTTTCGTGCATTCATTTGTCATTTGTATTTCTTCACCTGAAAAATGTGTATTCATCTCAGATGCTCATTTTTGGATTGGGTCTTTGAATATGATGGGTCTGATTTTTTTCAGTTCTTTTATGTGTTCTGGATAAAAGTCCTTTTCCTGAAGGACCATGGCTGTAATTTTTTCTTTTCACTGTGTTGTTGGTGATTTCTTTTATTATGCAAAAGATTTTTAATAAGGTGAGATCCCATTTGGTGATTCTTTGTAATATTTCTCTTGCAATGTAGGTTTTGTTCAAGAAATCTCTGCCTACATGTATGTCTTCAAGATTTCTGTTCTATCTTACAGTAAATTTAGTGTTTCTATTCTAATATTTAGGTCTTTGATCTATTTAGATTTTAGTTTAATGCATGGTGATAGGCATGGGTCTAGTTTTAGTCTTTTGGCATATGAAAAGATTAAAAATGATTTTTCCAGCACCATTTATGAAAGAGACTGTCTTTCTTCTAGTGAACATGTTTTTCTGTTTAAACTTTAATCTCTCATTTTGTGTGAGCTTGAAAGTATCTTTTATACATTTTAGCTTTTTGTGTTTCTTTTTCAATAAACTCATCTTTTTTGGCCTGGTTTCCTACTAGGTATTACAATTTTTTAGAAAATTGTAGGCATTCTTCATCTATCAGGTCATGTTTTTGATAATGCTATGAGTTACAAACATATTTGTCAAGTGTATTCTCTTTATTTTTTTTGTCAAGTGTATTCTGAGTTTATTTGCAGTGAATTTTACCAGGCAGAAATCTGTCTGAAGATCTCAATCTCATAGTTATTTACTAATATATAGGCTGGCTTCACATAATAAAGATTTTTTTTTAATTTAAAGTTTAAAATATGTTTTCAAGAAGTTCCATACAACCATAACTTTAGTGGCAGAAACAAAGTACTCTGAAGACTCGATTTTTGCATTTTTCTTAAAAATATGTTTGGTACAGGGTCTTACTATATAGCTCGGAGTTGTAGTGATCCTCCTGTTTTCAGCCTCCCTAGTGCCGGGATTACAGGTATACACAGCCGTACTCGGTCTTGGTGGTCAGCCTCAGCCTGAGTGTGGGCTGGCGTGGCATGTGGTGCTAAGGATCAAATCCTGGTCCCTGCGCCTGCCTAAGCTTAGTCCGCTGAGTTGTCTCACCGGCCCAATTTTTGCATTCTTGTAAGAATTTTACCACCTTTTAGAAAATAGCTGTGCAGTAGAAACAGAACTTTGTTTTAGTTTATGTGTAAGAGAAAAATATTAAATACTATTGCATGTGTCTGTTACAGAAATACCTATTCAAGATGATGCTGCAGATTTGGGTCGTGCAAGCTTTGGTTGTTTTCCTCACCACTGAGTGTATAGGTAAGACTCACGGAGTACCCTTCCTTCCAACTCCACAAATACACGTACAGAATTTTGCATACTTAGATATTAAGCATATGTTTGCTATTGAGTTGTTTTTCTACATGAGAAAACTGAAACCCATACAGAGTGGGTAACTCAAGAATTGGTTGGCCAGTGGCATTGTTTGGGGAAATCTAGCATACATATGTGGACACTGAGGCTAGAGAGCGAGAATAGAGTCATGCCAAATAGTTGGGACTTTTATCTTGATCATCATATATATAGTTACTAAACAGTAAAGAACATAATCATTTTAAAACCTTAACTGTAGTAATAGTTGTGTAGGGTAAACTGGATCGATAGAGGTCCAACTAGGAAGACATTATGGCCCAAGCATCAGCATCCTGATAGTACTGGTACCAAGAGGTTGGTAAACATGCTAAGAATGTAGAACCTAGAATGGATGGTACTTCTGCAAGGGGTAGTGTAAAAAACTGTTGAGTCTGCTGAGGCACCAGCATGTACTGAGTTTCCAGCTAGTGGGGGACATACTGTTCATCCTGTGCTGCCCCCAGTTTCAGCTTCTGAGGGGTGGAGGTGGAGCAGGAATGGTAGAGAAGTCAGAGATGTATATGGTTTAATGGTGGCAGTTTGCTGTCGGGGCCTCCAGGTGGTACACTGATTAACTTTGTGTCTGGTCTAGATAGCTGAATGGGAGTGGTGCTGTTGGCAGAGATAGAGAGGTAATTTATTTTGAAAGAGACTATAGTGCACATAGTTTTAGAAACATTTACCTTAAAGTAACTATGGGCAGGGCCAACATTACCTTCATGCCAAAAATACATAAGAAAAAAAAAAAAAAAGAAGCTGTGCATGGTGGTGCATGACTCTAATCTCAGTACCCAGGAAGCTAAGTTGAGAGGATTGCCTGAGTTTGAGGCCAGCCTGGGTTACATATTAAGCTCAAGACCAGCCCAAGTTGCATAGCAAGACCTGTCACCAAAGTAGTGCTAGTAGTCGTCATGGTGCTGCTGCTGGTGCTGGTGGTAATAATATAGAAGTTCAGTCCTCAGTTTTGGAGAGGAGTGCTAGGGTCCAAACTCTAGGTCTCACCATGTGCTAGGCAAATAGTCTGCCAGTGGGTATTAGTACATACATACCTCAGCCTATTTTATATTCTCAGAAATGTTGTTCCTTTGCAGGTCAACTTGTGGAGTTGTGTGGTGTTATCAGCCCTGAATCTCCAGTTATACGCAGTGGCTCTAATTTCACTGCATTCTGTGTGTTAAAGGAAAAATGTATGAGTGTTTATGATGTAAATGCTTCTTACATTATCTGGAAAACAGACCATGTTCAAGTTCCTAAGGAGCAGTACACCATCATCAATACAACAACATCCAGTGTCACCTTTACAAATATAGGTTTATTAAACGTTCAGCTGATGTGCAACATTCTCGCGTACGGACAGATGGAGATGAGTGTCTATGGAATCAGAGTGCGCACCGGCTGTAAGTTTTGTGTTTTTCTTATGTCAGGGTTTGTCGTGACTAGAAGTACATTTCTTCTATATATGGTTGTTACAGGGTCTCAGTGCACAGCTCAGACTCAGTGATCCTCCTGTTTTCAGCCTCCCTGGTGCTGGGCTGGCACAGCATATGGTGCTAACAAACTATGGGCCTAATGTGGATTATCAAATCTGTACATTGCCCAAACTTACATGATTTCAGCTTTTGTTTTTCTTCTAAAAGTGTTTGGACCTTTAATCCCACTACTTAGGAGGCTGAGACAGGAGGATCACCCTGAGTTCAAGGCCAGCCTGGACTACATTGTGAGTTCAGTGTCAACCTGAACTGTGGAATGTACCAAGACCCTAACTCAATTAAAAAATAAAGAAAAGGTTTGAGAAAGCAGCATATAAATGAATTATTTTTGTGTCTGTTTAATTGCTTCTTACTAACATATGTAAATACTAGGTTTTTAAAATATACTCAGTGGAGAAGTTGTTGCTCTTTTTATCCACTTATGAAAGTTGACTTTTATCTAAAAAATTAATGTAAAACAAAATAGTAATAACAGTTATGATACAAATATATAATTGCTGCCTAAAAAGAAGTTTAGGAATTTGAATGGAAATTAACTTTTTAGGGCTGGGGAGATAGCTCAGTAGAATAAACACTTGCCTGGCAAGTGCAGGGTCCTGAGTTCAAGCCCCAGTACCGCAAAGAAAGAAAGGAAGAAAGAAAGAAAGTTAACTTCTTAGTCACCAGTCTTTCATTGGATATAGTTTTGTTTGGGTTTCTTTTTGGCTATCTAACTTAGATATGTTTCAGGTGGTATGTAAATTCAATATTAATTGTGAATATAGAAGTTTTTAAAAATAATTATTTCCTTTTAGTTCCTCCAGAAAAACCTAAAAACCTGACTTGCATTGTCAATGAAGGGAAGAAGATGTTGTGTCAGTGGGATCCCGGGAGGGAAACACACCTGGAAACAAATTACACTTTAAAGTCGGAGTGGTGAGTGGTTTTTAAGTTTCTTCTGTGTTGGATTTATTAAACTAGACACTTTTGCCAGAACTTTTATGTTGCTAAACAGTACTGTTGAATCTAAATTTTAGAACATTTAAAATTTTTATTTTGGAACGTCTCAAATATCCACGTGGAAGTACCAAGAATTATATAATAGGGCCCGTGCTCCGCACCGCTGCCTTCAACAGCAGTCGGGCCCTGACCTGCCTGCGTGCTTCAGCTCTTGTCCTGAAGAAACTCTCATTTGTATCCCATCCTTAGTACCTAGCTCTAAAAGATGAGGGCTCTCCAAAGTCATAACCTACTCCACCGTTAGCCGAAGCATTTTTAAATACTGTAATATCAGAGTTTTAGTTAGAACAGTATAAATTTCCCCAGTTTGAATTGAGTTCCAAAGAAACTATACATTGCAGAATTTAGATTTCTCAGAAGTCTCTCTCTGTCTGGGATTTGGGTTTTTTTTGTTTGTTTGTTTGTTTTTGGAGGGTTTTTGAGATAGTCTCACTGTATACTTTAGGCTGGCCTTAAACTCACTGTGTGGTCTAGGCTAGCCTCAGACTTGCAATGATCCTCCTGCCTCAGCCTCCTGAGTGCTAGGATTACAGGTGTGCACCACCACACCCTGCTTTTTATTATGGTTTTTCGAGACAGGGAATCACTGCGTAATTCAGACTCAGCCTTTGACTCTTCACAGAGACTAAGGTGACCTGGAAACTCAGTGCCCCTCCTGCCTCAGCCTACCAAGTGCTGGGATCTCAGGCATGTGCCACTGTGTCCAGCTCAATTCCTTGTAAATCTCTCTTAAATTCTAAGTTTTTCTCGCTGTTCTCTTTGTATCCCCCGCAGGAATTCAGTTTTTAATGTAACTTATACAAGGGGTATGCATACTGTTTTATTTTTTCTGATACTAAAACTGAGCAGTGATGTCAGGTGTTGTCAGCCTCACTCATTTTTTAATAAAGTTTCCTGTCAGTGATTTTTTTTTTTTCCTTTTCTGTCTTTTTGTGGTACCAGGGGTTGAACTCAGGCTCTTGTACATGCTAGGGATGTACTCTAACCTCAGCCTTTTCATTTTATTTTGAGAGAGGGTTGACTGAGTTGTCCAGACTGAAGTCAAACTTATCATCCTTCTGCCTCAGCCTCCTGAGTAGTTGGAATTACAGGCATGCGCTACCAGTGTTTTCCAAGCCTAAAACTGTTGAAAGAATTTTCCAGTGAACACTCATGCATCCCGATCAGCCGGATACTCCAGTTAACATTTCACTGTTTACTTCATCACCTTTGTCTTTTAGTGCATTCCAAAGTGAGTTATAGGTATTAGTGTATTTTATTTTTAAGTACTTCACTATTTAGATGGGTAAATAAAATTCAGTATTTAGCTTCTTTTTACGTAGATTTACATATAGTGAGTGAGGTTGTCAAGGGTGTATAACTGATTGCAAACATTACTGCTTTTCCCAGAAAGTTCTCTTGTGCTCCTTTCAGTCAGTCCCAGCACCTCCTCAACCCATGTGGGCAGCGTCTCTGATTTTCTTCATTATAGGTTAATTTTTGCTTCTTATAGAACAGCGGTGGAAAACCTATTTGATTATTATAAAGTGTGTGTGTCTCAGTTACTCTTCTCTCTTGCTAGGACAAATACCCAACACCCAAATTAAAGGAAGGAAAGGTTAATTTAGCTCGCAGTTACTGGAGGTTTCCGTCCATACTCAGCTGGCTCCAAGGCAGAGTGGCACATGGTAGAGAGCAACTTTTCATGGTGGCAGCAAAGAGCAGCAGAGCAAAATGGGAGGAGTAGCAGCAGCAATGGCACCAAAGAGCAAGTCTGTCTCCCTTAAGTTGCATTCAGGCTACATGCCCCAGCTGGGGTATAGCACTCACACCCATAATCCCAGCAGCACTAAAACCCATAATCCCAGTGGGTCATGAGTTAATCTCAAACTCTAGAAGTCCCCACCCCATGTCTGCATGAGGCTTTGTTGGGACAACTAGACACAAACCATAACATTCTGCCCCTGGACCCCCAGAGTCTCATGCACATCCCTTTGTGCCAAAGCCATTTTAGTTCATCTCTAAAATGGACTAAAGTCCCAACAGTTCCAGCTTTGCTGAAAAGTCCAAGTCCCAAGTCTCCTCCAAGATCCAAGGCAAACTCTTAGCTGTGAGCCCATGTACAAAAGAAAAGTTACACACTTCCAACATTCAGTGGCCCAAAACAAACATTACCATTCCAAAAGGTACACACAAAGGCTGGCCAGATAGCTCAGTGGACTAAAGCTCCTGCTTAGGCAGTACCCAGGGGCTGAGGTTCAATCCCCAGTGTGCCCTGCCAGCCCCACCCCCAGGGCACACTGAGATGAGATTGAGACTGGGCATGGTGGCGCATGTTTGTAATTCCAGTGCTTAGGAGGCTGAAAGCAGGAAATCCCTGAGTCCAATCTAGGTAATGAGACCCTGTATACCTCTATTAAATAAATAAATAAAAATAAAAGGTACACACACCAGGATGACAAACACTGGGACCAAAGCAAGTCCATAATCCAGAAGGATGAACATTAAGTCCTATAGGTCCAAGATGATGCCAAGGTCTGCTGCCAGCCGGAGCATTAGCCAGGCTTGCTTCTCTCTTGGCTGTAGGGATCAGTTGCCTGGATTGCTGAGCACTGTGACCCTGATTCTGAGGAATAAATTCTCCATGCCTGTATCATTCTGGAACCTGGTGTGGCCACTGCCACCATCTGGGACATGGGGCTCAGCGGCTTTCCCCTCACAGTCCTTCTCCCTTGCAGTTCTGAGGCTGCAAAGTGTGGATACCTGCTGCCTCCTGTGATGCCCTCAGGTCATCCTTTTGATTCTCTGGTTCCTTCCTGGCAATAGAAATCCTGTCAGCTCTATCCCTGCAGTTCACAGCTTTATTGGAGCTTCCTTCTAGCCAAATTCACAACATTCTAAACCTTCCTGCTGGGCTCTTTGCTTTTGATTCTCAACATAAATCTGACTAAAAGCCCCAAATGGCCATGCCACTTCCTCAGTATTCTGCTACTTTGAAATACCTTTTGCCAGATTCATCAGTCTGATATGGGGAAAAAATGAAACTCCCAACCTGAAAGGTACCTGGGACAAGTTCATGTTCTCTACAACCAAAGAATGAATTTTAGAAACAAATGGAAGTTACCAGAATATATTTATTGGGCAATAGAAAGCTCCTGTCCAAGAGAAAGACAGAAGGGGCCACTGAGTGGGTTGCCCTCAAATCTATCACTTCTAGGGATTTTTGTAGAGTAAAACCATGTGGTGAGGCAGGTCAAAGGTGGAAAACATGGGAACTTGCTAGAGGGCAAGAGGTGGGCCAAAACTATGGCCAACCAGTAAGACTACAAGCATCATTGCTCAGGTAAATTGATTAAATCCAGGACCAAATGGGAAAGTGAGTCATGTAGCAAGTGGACATGAATATGGAACAGGGTCTCTCCCTGTTGGGGGTTGGGTTAGTGACTCATTTGGGCTCTTTCAAGGTGATTGATGCCTATTTAGAATATCAATCCCTGATGCCCATCCCTAGGGAAGTATAATACTGCATTTGTTTACTTTTGTCTTGAGATCTGGTCTGCAGTGGGGGCAGGTCTGTCTCTTCCAAAGTTGCAAAGTCTCCTTGTCTTCCATGTTGTCTCCTTGAGGGCCTGGTGTTGTCTGACTGCCTATAGTATTTCTATCTAATTCAGCTGCCTACAAGTCCACTACCCGTAAGCTCAGTCTCAGGCAAAGTCTCTGGACACGAACAAAATTCAGACAGACTTTGGGCCAAACCATAATATAATCAGCCAATGCCGTCCTTCCCAGAAGGAAGGTCTCTACAGGCCGGCTTCCTACCAACCTTCTGGTCTTCCGAGCTCTGACCAGAATCTCCCCACAGAACAGCTGAAGCTGCTCCAGCTCTTCACTAGCAGGTGACCTCTCCAAGCCTTCCTAGTTCTTCCCATAAGCCGTCCCAAAAGTTTGTGATCCACATGGTCAGATTAGTCACAGCAATGAACCACTCCTGCGGTACCAAATTCTGTCTCAGTTGCTCTTCTCTCATTGCTGTGACAAATACCCGACACCCACATTAAAGGAAAGAAAGGTTTATTTAGCTCACAGTTACTGGAGGTTTCAGTCCATTCTCAGCTGGCTCCAAGGCAGAGTGACACATGGCAGAGAGCAACCTTTCATGGTGGCAGCAAAGAGCAGCAGAGCAAAATGGGAGGAGTAGCAGCAGCAATGGCACCAAAGAGCAAGTCTGTCTCCCTTAAGTTGCATTCAGGCTACATGCCCCAGCTGGGTGTAGTACTCACACCCATAATCCCAGCAGCACTAAAACCCATAATCCCAGTGGGTCATGAGTTAATCTCAAACTCTAGAAGTCCCCACCTCATGACTGCATGAGGCTTTGGTGGGACAACTAGACACAAACCATGACAGTGTGTTACTGTGTTTTTCTTTTACAACCAAAGCTGTTGTAGAGTTGTTTTTCCTAAACTAAGACCTCAGTAGTCAAGTTTATACAGATTGGCACTTTTTGATAAATAAGTGGGTTATTGGGTTGCAGCTTAACACTTGGTCTGTGAAAGGTTTGCCACCACATTACAGAGTGCCATATCAATAGGATTGTACAGCATCTACTCTCTGATGAACCGTTTCGACGTAGCACAGTGATTCTCAGGTGAGCCCTATTGCTTGTCAGTAGTTTCTCCCCTGAAGGTTGAAGCAGTCATTAGTGATCATTACTTGTATGAATTACAAAGAAATCATGGTATTCTTTTTTTTTTTAAGCCAAAATACTTAAAAGAAAAACTTTCCTTCTTAACAGTGGGTTACCCTCGGGAGCAGTTCAGATAGGAGATGCAAAATGGTAGCGATACTTCCCTTGTACTGCCACTGGTTTTGTTTTGCTTTCTTTGTGGTACTAGAATTGAACCTAAGCTCATCACCCTGAGCCACAGCCCTTTTCT